ATCTTCGCACATTTGTATATAAAGATGAATTTGATTTTTCTGACTATCCTAAAGATCATCCGAACTACGATCAGGACAGAAACAAGAAAGTATTAGGGAAATTTAAAGACGAGGCTAACGGAGTGTTACTTGAAGAAATCGTAGCACTTATATCAAAATTGTATGCTGTGAAACTACATGATGACAACATTATAAAAAAGGCAAAAGGCGTAAAGAATTTGTATTTGAAGAAAAATGTACTTTTTGAAGACTACAAGCAAGTGTTGTATGAAGATAAAGTTATAACTGCACACTTCAACACAATCAGGAGTTATAATCATCAACTGTACAGCGTGACAGAAGTTAAGAAGGCGCTCTCCTGCAACGATGACAAACGACACATCCTACCAGACCGGATCCACACACTTCCATTTGGTCACTATTCCCTTAACCCTATCGACTAATTACCTTTTCATCGTCCTACACCACTTATCCTTTCTCCTTTCCGTAAAATTGGGGGAACACAGCATTGTCCGCTGTGTTCCCCCTTTTTTACACAAGGTTAGAATGACCTTGACCTATATAAGGAGATGCAAGAAAAAATGAAAATCATTACTTTGCCAACATTGACAGTGAAAACAACATAATGGCTTTTAAAGAAAACATTGTAAATGAGCTACACAAACCTGCAAGAGTAAACTTTCCAAGAAGAAATACAACTGTTAAAGGAATAAATGATTTGTATCAAGCAGATTTGATTGAAATGCGACCATATAGTAAAATAAATAAAGGACATCATTATATACTTACAGTGATTAACTGTTTTACCAAAGTTGCAGATGCATTACCATTAAAGGATAAAACTGGTAAAAGCGTAACACAAGCCATGGAAATCGCTATAAAGAGAGATAAAAACAAAATGAAACATTTACAAACTGATGATGGCAAAGAATACTTTAATAAAAGTTTTTCAAAGTTAATGGAAAAATACAACATAAACCACTACTCAACCAAATCTGAAAAAAAAGCGGCTATAATTGAAAGATTTAATAGAACGTTAAAAGGAGCGATGTATAAAATGTTTTCAAACAGAGGAACCTACTTATGGATTGATATTTTACCAAAGTTAATAAGTGATTACAACAACAGGTTTCACAGAACTATTGGGATGACACCAAATGAAGTAAACAGTAAAAATGCTAAACTTGTATTAAAAAGAATAAAGCACAATACAAAACCTAAGGTTGAAATAAAGAAGCCTAGAAAATTCAATGTAAATGATAAAGTTCGAATAAGTAAGTATAAAACGATATTTACTAAAAAATATCTACCTAATTGGACAAATGAAGTATTTACCATATACAAAGTGCAACCAACTATACCAGAAACATACATATTAAAGGATAATAAAGGCAATTTGTTACAAGGTGCGTTCTACGGACATGAACTATTAAAATCTACAGTAGGTGATGTATATCTTGTTGAAAAAGTGTTACAAAGGAAAAAAGACCAAGTTAAAGTACGATGGTTAGGTTTTAACAAAACAGAAGATTCTTGGATACCTATAAAAGACCTAATTTAACGGGAACAGCTCATTGTACTATTGGATTTCGAATAAGATGGAGATTGTTTGTCATAAAGATCAATTCAACATTAGTAATATTGATGATTACACTGTTGATAACGACACAATCAACACTGGCAAACATGGAAGTTTACTTCCAAACACAGTCAGATGTATTATAAGTGGTCCTTCAAACTGTGGAAAAACTAATGTCGTATTTAATTTGATTACAAATCCTAAAGGATTGAGGTTTAATAACTTATATATTTTTTCAAAGTCACTACATCAGCCAAAGTATCAATTGTTGGAGAAAATCATATCGAAGGTGTCAGGTGTTAACCTTTATAAATTTAACGCCAGTGATAAAGTTTTGCAACCAAACCAAGCTAAACCATATTCAGTATTTCTATTTGATGACGTTTCGTGTGAAAATCATGATACTATTAGGAACTATTTCGCCATGGGAAGACATAATAATATCGACAGCATATATATAGGACAAACATACAGTAAAATTCCAAAGCAGCTTATCAGAGATAATGCAAATGTTATAATTTTGTTCAAACAAGATGAAACCAACCTGAAACACGTATATAACGATCATGTAAATGCTGATATGTCATTTGATAAGTTTAAACAAATTTGTGGAAAAGCATGGGCAGAAAAGTATGGATTTTTGGTCATTATGAAAGAACAAGCCATAAAAGACGGACGATATAGAATAGGGTTTGATAAATACGTTCTGCTTCACTAAATATCACTATTTCAAATCAACACTTCGTACTGTAAACATGGCAAGTCAAGAAAAGCTCTTAAAAGAAATAAAATCACTTAGTGATTCTATTAGACATAAAAACAGAGCTCTGAAGTTAGGTATAAGTGAAAGAGAAAAGTTTATAGAATCAACGTTTAAACCCGTTACTGATCCTTTAAACAGATTAGTTAAAAATATTGAAAAACCTTTCGAAGGAGATGCTATTCTACCGATTTCTAAGTATGAAAAAGAATCAAGAGATTATGAACAATACAAACAATTTCAATCAACTGAAGAAAGTGGTGAAAGTGAAGAAAGTGAAGAAACAGAAGAAACTGAAGAAACTGAAGATTCAGAGAAAAAGAAGGATTTTCCGCAGGTCAAGAAGAAGGATCTACTAATCCTACAAATCTAAGTACATTAAGCACAAACATAGCATTCAAAGGGAATTTGGGCAGAAAATATTTATTAAAGATGTTACATTCAACACAGGCTAATCGAAGATATCATATTTATGGAGCTAGACTAGAAGACAATGGTATTATGATTGGAGACAGTAATTTGGATATTGATGAAAACGATAACATCCTTATTGGTAACCAAAAATATAAAGGTACAACAGGACTGTTTGAACTTATTTTTAAAAACAAACCTGGTAAATATACCAAAAAAGACCTATCAGTGTTTAAAAATATACTAAATGATACAAATGCACATAAAAAGCAGTATTCCAAAGATTTGCCCATTTATCGAAATCGATCAATAAAATACACAAGTGTCATAGCTGATCTTTTTCCAACACAAGTGAAAAAATCTCAACTTAAAAGAAGAGCTATATCTACAGCTGAATTAAATGTGTTACACAAAAGACCAAGAACCAACGAACCTACATCTTCAGGGAAAGGATTATTAAAAAGTCTATACAATACCAACATAATATATTATAATGATGTCAATAAGCTGGTTGATCGAATGAGATTATTATATGAAGCCATGGAAGCCGGTCATACCGGATTGGACAATGAATGGGTAGCTTTAATCGATGAACTACGAAATCGAAGGATTATTGCTTAATCATCGCATATAAAAGGAGGACAAGAATCGAGGGAACTCAGTTGAATCATGAGCGTGGACAAGTTTGGAAGGTATTCCAATTTTGGAGAAAAACCAAAACCCAATGGTAAAAGATATAGTTTACCATTAACAGCTGAAGGAGATTATAACATAAGCAGCAAACGATTGAAGTTTGTAAAAGATCCAGAAGATGATAATGATGCAATAAATTTGAAAACTTTAAAAAGTGAAAAATTGTTGAGCTTACAACTTCAAAACGACTCTTATAATGCCAAGTCTCATAGAATAACAAATGTTGGTGAACCAATAGAAAACTCCGATTCCGTCACCAAAGATTATTTACTTTCAAAACTGTCAAATACTTTACAAGTTAATAATGAAGTTTACGATGTTAAAAACAGAAGAGTTACAAACTTAGCTGATCCTGTCGATAGTCAAGATTCAGTCAATAAAGGATATTTACATTCTATAATCCCTGAAAGAAAAGAAGATAGATTCTCTTTTTATAACTTTGTTATAAATGATATAGGATACCCTAAAGAAGATTCGGACGCAGTTAACCTCAAATATGTTAAAGATAATTGTATTATTCACGATAGTGAACAAATTGATTGCAAAGGTAAAATATTACATAAGGTTAAAGAAGGATTAAAACCAACAGATGCTGCCACTGTAAGTCAAATCATGTTACAAAAGAATGGAAATTGGCATGCTGAGAACAAAAAGATAACTAATGTAAAAGGTGGAGTAAATCCTGAAGATGTGGTAGTTTTTAAACAAGTTCCTGTAATAACCGATGAATATAAACATAATAATATAAAGACCACCACTTTTGATTGTAAAAACTTACCATTAGCAAATGTTCATAATGCAGTTTTACCTCACGAAGCGGTAACTTTGGATCAGATGAAAGATCATATAAAAAGCCAGTGTATAATAAAAGATGAACAAAATGAAGAAATATACACATGTAATAATAAAAGAATTACAAATCTTGAAGATCCACAACAAATGGATAATGCTGTCAATGTAAACTATCTTGCTAGACTTTTGGGTACTGTAATGTTTGATTTTCACAATATGATACCAGCATATCCAGGACATAACAAAGTGCATCCAGATCAAAGAGATCAATGGATTGATAGGGTTATTATGAAGCAATATTTTATGTCTAGCAGAACAAAGATGCTTAGAACTAAA